ATTTTCACGCGTTCATTGAACTACTGTTGATTTGTAATGTATCCTAATTTTGTATTTCCATTGTTCTCATATCACTTGTTGACAGTCATTCTTTTTAATAACTGTTGATATTTGCTGTTTAGATTATCGCCTGTTAATAACTTTTTCATGACTATCTTAAGAATCTATCTAATTTCGAATACATTTGCGCGTACAAATGCTGTAAACTACCTACAAACGAAAGTTTGTAAACATTCCAGATATATTTTCGTAATAATGGTAAAATTGTATGTATCGATTCCTCTGTTCCGACCTCTACGATTTCATCTGTAACCGGGTCGGTCACTTAATTTGTTCGATCTGTTAAATATACTGTGAAACCAATCTTTTGTTTTATAAATTATTTCTATTTTACCGTAGTAATTCAAATATAGCTTCTACGTTTAATTTCTTTGCTAACCGAAAACTGCTGACAGTACAAATTGGGCACACAGAACTAGGTATTAATATGCATCTATATGGTAACACGTGTAATACTGAAATTATTTGGCTGTCTCTAGTTGGGTGTACGAGTACTGATTGAGATGTATGAATGTCTTAACGATTACTTTCTGATATTGGGAATTAAGACAACTCATGATGTACGAAAGGCATAGAAGCGGAGCTCTTTTCGTATAATACCACCTGACTTATCGATACCTTTTCACAATGAGAAACAAATGAGTTGATGGAAGAAAAAAAGTATCCGGTGAGCGTAATAGTAGTACATGAAGTATGTATCTATGGACGTGGGTGTGGATGATTTATGTTATTTCCACTGATTTTAACGCATAGTTCCATCCATAATTTCCCTCATATCACATATCGGTTTGTTCAGTAGATAAATTCAATATGAAACCCAATAAAATGCATTCCAGGTTAGTAAATTGACTTGAGAACACCTTAATGGAACTAATAAATCTGGGATCCATTGCATAATACTAAGTGGTTGGAGTAGCGCGATAGTAAGTTCTATCTTCAAAACATGTATGAGACATCAACATGAAATCTGCAATAACATTAGGTTATTCATCATGGTTTAAAGATTATTACAGGCTCTTTCATCGAATTTAATGTAATTTGTGACAAAATCCTACACAATAAACTCAATTTACCGATGTGTGAAATGAAGTTAAAATGTGTGGATAGATAGTTTCCAAGTAAGGCGGAATAAACAATATTTAATTTTATGATGGTTAGAAGTATTTGGATTATTGTGATAGATGTGAATCCAGAAAACCTTGTAATCTATAGCAAGTAGAAGTAAATGTACACTACTGATCGTATTATATTTAGAGTTCTTAATGACTTCAACTTTCCAAAAGAAACGACGGACTTGATACTCCTAGTGTCAACAACAAAGTCGCAGAAAGCATCAGTGGACAAATGCAATCGTTTTTGAATTTGAAGTGAGTTAATGTGTGATTATCAAAAGCACCAAAATGATTAAGATCCCTATTGCAAAGCAACCGAAAACAGCTATAATTACTCTCTTTGGATTTTATGCGGATGTTGACGACTACCTAATAACAAGTCCGGACAGAGAATCACATCTCAAGCATCTGGATCTTGTTTTCGACCGACTACAAAAACATGGCATTACTGTAAACATTCAGAGATGCCAAGTTGGAACCGACTCATTAAACGTTCTTGGACACACTATGGATGCTCAAGGAATTCGACCCCTTAGAACCAAAGTGGCGGCCATTCAGGATTACCCAGAACCTACCACCGTCAAGCAATTACGCACGTTTAACGGCCTTGTAAATTTCGATAGACGTTCATGCTAAAGTGCGTGCACTTATGAAACCGCTAACTGACCAACTTAGTGGAAATGTGAAATCCATCAATTTGAAAGATACCACTCGAAAAGCATTCCCCACAATTAAAGAACTTGTCGCAAAAGCAACCATGCCTGCATATAAGGACACTAAAGCACCCATTTGTATCGTGGTAGACGCATCGGGCTCAGCAGTCGGAGGAGTCTTACAACAATGGCTAAAGTAGTCCTGGCAACCTTTGGCATTTTTCTCTAGACGGTTGCCAGACACTGAAACGAAAAACAGCATATTCAGTAGGGAACTCCTAGCTATGTGTTGTGCTGAACGGCATTTTCAACACTATATCGAAGGCCATGAATTCACCCTTTTCACTTACCATAAACCGTTTATTTTCTCTTTAAGCTCATCCTCAGACAAGCACTCACCTCGTAAGTCTTGAAAACTAAACTACATTTCGCAGTTTACTTCAGATGTTCAACACATTTCTGGAGCAAACAATGTAGTCGCAGACGCTTTGTCTCGCATAACTTCCTTAAACAGTTTCCAAGGAATCGACCTTCTGAGACTCACATAGCTTCAAAAAGAAAACACTGATCTTCAGCACGAATTGTCGTCTACGACACTCAAGCTATGCATTAAACAGATGGGAACGGGTAACTAAACCTTACTATGTGGCACATCTACAACTACGGATCGCACAATCGTGCCGAAACATTATCGACGCAGCGTCTCCAATATGTTGCACAAACTTTCTCATCCAGGTGTTCGTGCAACCATCAAGCTTACAGCAGAACGGTTTTGCTGGCCTGGAATGAATAAAGACGTGAGGGAGTGGGCAAGCTCCTGTGTAAGCTGCCAAAAATCTAAGGTTATCAGACACAATAAATGTCCCTTAGGCTCGTTTAAAACTCCCGATGCTAGTTTCGACCATTTTCATCTGGATTTGGTAGGACCTTTACCAGATTCAAATGGATACTCTTAACCTGCGTAGACCGTTTCACTCGATGGCCAGAAGCAGTACCTATCAAGGACATCACTGCAGAAACAGTGGCCACACTTTTAGGAATCACTCGCTTCCGAACGACTGCCTACCATCCACAAGCAAACGGATTGGTAGAACGCTTTCACCTATAACTAAAAGCTTCACTATCAGCTGCAAACGTTTCACAGTGGACCGACGCTCTCCCACTCGTCTTACTAGGTATCCGCAATGCAGTGAAAGCTGACTTTGGATACACTGCGGCTCAACTCGTTTATGGAACGACACTTCGACTTCCAGGAGAATTCGTGGATCCTTCATCCTCTTCAATGAACATGCATCTAACCTCCTACACGAACAGGCTTACAAACGCAATGCGTTCAGTTAAACCTGCTTCCACTCGACCTCAATCAACTGATGTTTTTGTTCAACCTGACTTTCGATATAGTACACACATTTTCGTTCGTCGAGACTCACATGGACGACCATTCAAATCAGCATACGAAGGACCCTTCAAAGTTCTTCAACGTGAATCTAAGTACTATATAGTCGATAAGAACGGAACAAACGATAGCATCAGCATAGATCGATTAAAAGCATCGTATTTAGAAGGAAATCCTATCCACGTCAATTTTCCTTCGGTACAATCGAACAACACAACTCCTACAATCATAGTTCCTCAACCGACAACCAACACGCACGATGATACTTCGACAGTATCTGAAAATAAAATTAAGACTACGCGTTCTGGAAGAAGAGTAAGATTTGCAGAACATTTAAACGATCATTGCACGAAAGACACCAGTCAAAATTTAGTTTCATCTCGATATTCCATGGCATTATATATAACAAAAATTTTTCAATATGGTTGTATTTTTGTAGATATTTATCATTTGGTTAATATGTATATTAAAAAGATTTTCTTTAAAAAACATTTTGTAAAAATCGCTTTTACGTTGTTTACACTTTTTCGCCCATTTTATGTCTTAAAGTGTGTACGAGTTTATTTCGACATGCACTTACATATTCTTTTTTTTCTTTTCCAGGACGACTGGAAAGATGATAAAAAGATCGATGAGGTTTACGAGGAACCAAAATTTTGATTGTACATTATTTTCTTACTATATTGTACTTCATGGTCACTTATAGTAAGGAAAGACGACCAGACGCTTCTAAACCTAGCAAGCTATCAGAAGAGTGTTTACCAACGACAAAACACGTTGGGGTTAAACTTCTGGCTGGTCACGTCTTATAGTCATCACTGCCCCACTAGGGGGGGAGTGATCTGTAGCGGTGACTAAATCCCCCCCAAAAACAGCTCTGCATGTTTTCGACATTGGATACTGACCACATGTTTTGATGGACTCACCTCGCTGAAGGCGCTCGGTCATGCATCCGCACCAGATCACGAGTGCGAACGCCGTTCTCAACATCTACTGTAATCGCTAGCCAGATTAGATCAGACGATTCTTGATTTACTGATAGTCATCAAATATACCTTCCATTCTCCCCGATTCTGTCTTTTTGTTTCACTTGGTGGGTACGATTCATATTAGAAGGTGTTACTGGTTGAAGCGTTGTCAAACTATCAATATCTGAGGCATCTTCAATCTAATATCTGATAACTTGAAGTACGCAGATTCAAGTGGAAAATTCCGTTAACAGAAGTCGTTCCTGAAGTCGGACTTCTCTGCTAAGCCATGTTGTGATTTCTTGGATGAGATGTGACTTTAAATTTTGGAGCCAAGTTACTACGAAGTCTCTCAAAAACAGCGAATTAAAAAATTTCACTGGAACAAGAGTTCTTACCTGTCTTTAGAAAAATCATGCCGGATATTTAACTACATTTTCCAGAACTTCGACCGCTATATGGATCAAAGTGTTTAGCGTTGTCGTATTTTCTTCGTTTGAACACCACATATTATTCAGATGAGGACCTAGGAAAATGAGCAGTGCTGTCAAGATGCATATTTCTGCAAAACACTTATTGTTACTTCTCGGAATTTGGGAGTACTTTGAAATGACAACACTTACAGCAATTAACGATAGGCATCACGAACAAAGGAGATCAACAAATTTATTTGTGTTAAACATTGTGTTGGAATTAAAGTGAAAGTTGTAAATGTTCATCTCTTGAGATCGAAAACAACCGTTAAATATGGTTTGATTGACTATTCTTCCTTACGTATAAACACCCGATGAACAGTTTTAATTCTCTAAATGGAATCGCGCCTTTTTACTTTTGTTACTGAAGGTCAAGGTAAGATACAAGTGTAATATGCGCGTCTGTAGGAAGTTTATTAATTTAAGTCATTCGTATAATTTTCGTTTCTGTTTGCACCGTCTTTGTTAAAAATAAAGCGTGTCCTATGTTACTCAGTTTGAGCTGTGATCATATTATAGTCACGCTTCTGTTTTTGCGTCGAGACTAATTCATGGACGAGCCAATCAGAAGCGTTGGAGCAGTTTCAAGGTCACAGAGTCAAGTTCAACACCTGATGCTCACATACGATCGGTTTACAGGGGATTTTAGAGAAGAGGTGATTACTGAGAGGCTACAAGATATGTGACTACTAAGAAGTTCTTGTACCTGTGACTGCGGTTATCAAATGACTGTAGTAAAGCGTGCAGACTACCGTGATGAGATTGTATTTCGTTGTTCTTCATGTTGGAGGCAAAAGTCTGCTCGAACGGGAACTTTCTTCTCTCGATCGCGACTGAAACTGAGGCAGGTCATGATAATAGTTGCAAATTGGATAATAAAGTCACCAGTAACACTGGCTGCGGCGTTTGCAGATGTTACTGAAACTTCAGCAGTCCAGTGGTATGAGTATTGCCGTGACATATGTGCAATTAAAATGACACGTCTACACCAATCATTCGGAGGAGTAGGATGTATTGTGGAGATAGATGAAACAGTAGTGGGAAAGTGAAAATACAACAGGGGACGTAGTATCAAGGAAGATAGGGTAAGTCGCACTTCCGTAAATATACTTGACAGTTAATTGGAATTTATGATCGATCAGCGCAAAAGGGGCATTTTCAGAGGGTCAGAAACCGGCAAACAGGCACAATAATACCAATTATACAGGAATACGTGCAGCCGGGCACTACAGTATATACGGATGGCTGGAGAGCTTATAGATGCCTATATAGACTTGGGTATGTGCATCATGTCGCAGTGCACAAGCGCCATTTCGTCGACCCTACAACCGGCGTTCATACTAATAATATTGAAGCCATGTGGTCGAGACTAAAGGAATTTTTAAGACCGTACCACGGCTCTAGAGGACGATTATTATGGCGCCATATGGACGAGTTCCTATACTGTATGCATTATGATTTCAGAACATCTGAACCTTTATCAAACCTTAAAAAGTTTTTAAATCATGTGAAAGAAAAATATACACTGTAGTTCATTAGTTTCTTATAATATCTTTTTGCCTTATACTAATTGTCTTCTGATTGACTAATGATTGTCAAGGTCATTTAAGATTCCTTCGAAGTTCGTCCATAAATTTGGGTCTCGCCGCTCATCTTTGCAATAAATCTGAAGTCGCTTCGCTCTTAAGGTTTTTATTTTATAGATATTTATATAATTTGCTTTTTTTCATTTTACGCATGTAAAAATTAGAAATGTATTTTTTGTCTCAAAGTAATATGTGGTCAAACATTGTATATCCTGCCTGGAAGCAATGTCAAAGCTGTTTGCATATTTCTCTTCCAACCATCCCGTTTTTAATTGGACGGTTTTTATGATATAGTTGCAAATTTCTGAAACTTAACTTTCGAGTTCCCAAGCGATATTTGTGCTTTAGAGAATTTCTTGCGGGATGACGTTTGATATCCTGTCGTAGACGTTTAACTTCACACTAAAAATGCGTAACGAATTCGCCATATATTGTCGTTCTTTGGAATTTTGTTTATGGTTCTTATTATTGTCGGTATACTTCCGTCCTTTATTTTACGGCGTTTTGGTCGGCTGTGTGGTTTCCACAATGCAGTATTTACTATTATTTCATTTTGTTCGCTCTTGTTGATATTTGCATAACCTTTTGAATGCAACAGATGCAAATGTGACTGCAACTAGTTGTATATCTGATCCTGTCTAGGTCTGTCTTGATGTCTATCTTTGGTCATCCCTTGTGCTTGCTAAGATTTTCCGTCTGTAGGTAAATAATAATCATTGATTCGTGTTCATCAAGGGAAACGTGTGAATTCTGTTGTGTTACCTTTCGTACTGCTTTTTACATCTAAAGGTCGATGTTTTCTGTTTAACCACATTCTAAACAGCTTCCATGAACAGTGAATAATAAACACATACCATGCTGTAACTCGTCTGATTATATTTGGTAATTTACATAAATATCTAAATAGTTTTATGTTTAAGTCATTAGGTTTAAACCCGTCCTTACGATAGTAGGTCGTTTGACCTGTGTTAATCCGTGGAAGCTGTTCTCCTGCATAGATCCAGCTTCCACATGGTGTTCTCTGATAGAGCTGGTACCTGGTTATTGAGATAGGGGGTTCCTGTTACTGACTATTCAATGAGATAAACGCAATCCGTTTCTGAATCTATTCGATGACGGTTTTAAACCATATTGTGATGACTTCTGAGATGATTAGCCATAAGAAGAGCAAAACACTAGAATGTTAATATAAGCTCACTTCGCGTTTTACTGTCAGTATTGTTAGTGCGTCCATGACTTCTAGTACCTTGGTTACAAGTGTTTAGCTTCTAGCTTGTAAGAAATCGTGTGGAAGCCAACTCATAATGTAACATCAGTTCATGTAGTCAGTGATTGTTAGTTTGAGCTATGTGGTTAGGTGCAAAATATTTAGTTGGGGTCCGTGTGGTGATCATGTTCATAAACTCATACGTACCTTTTCATCCCTTCCTGAACAATATTCTCAGCATTCAGTTATTCTCATCACTACTAAGCATTTCGGTTATCTTGTTTCCTATTATGTCAATTTCATCTCGCCGTTCTGATGTGCGACGGGCATTTAAGCTAACTCACATTTGTACCAATCTCTCTATGTCACTAAACCTTTTCTCAAATGTTTACGCTTTTTAGAGAAATTTAAAACTCTCATATTTCAAGGAAATGTTCATTAGAACCGCTTTTATTTGATTTTACTAAAACAGCTCTCTGTAATGGATATGAAATGCTCTAGGTAGTACGCTCGATGCTGATTTATTGTTCCATAGACATGAACAAATGCTAAATATTATAAGTGGAGAAAACGTAAATATTGAAGAACTTAAAAGATTGTCTATTGACGGTTGTCCCGATTCTAATGGGATCCGTTCTAGAGTTTGGAAGGTAAGGTATTCCTCTACATTTTTCAGTTCCTTTTAAATTATCTTCCTTATAATGTCGAAAAACGGCAAGAACGGATCACTTTTAACAGAAGGCAATATGAAGGTTATGTAAAGGAATTTGTATTTGAGTCTTGTGTGGCAGATGCTATGCCTGCTGATCATGTAAGTATATTCATTTAGTGTTATTGTTACTTCTCTAGCCACTGAATTTAGAACCAGATGGAAATTGGATCGCGTTTTTTCGCGATAATGAAATTTTACTCCAGATTAATAAAGACTGTCAGAGACTGTGTCCAGATTTTGATTTCTTTCGTCGTCCCACAGAGTATTCTTGTCTATCATTATTTGGAAAGGAAGTACCTGTTGGGGTGTTACGGAGAAGAGGGGAAACCTCTGCACTTCAGGTAAATAGTCCTAAAAATTCTCCTTGGTATTTTTTGAGCAAATGTTTTACTTACAAATCTCATGCTTTGGGTTACCAACTTTGCATTGTATTTCGCTGATTCTCGTTGGACATCTCAGAAACTGAGTATTATTTCGTGTAGGGATGCTAAGACGTGATTTATTTCAAGGGTTTCCCTGGAATCGTTTCCGTATAAGACAAAGTATAATTGCAACAACGCACATTTTAAGCACCAGCAATTTACTCAACGACATATATCGTAACAGAGGTTTTGTAGTGGTTATAATATTTTATTTTTTTAATATTATAGCTGACTGACTAAATATTTTAATACAAAGACGCCAAGACAAGTTTTACAAATGTTCCATCTATATAGCTTTTGAATATCGGAAAGTGAAATTGTCTTCCTAAAATGTAGTTACACAGATTGGCTAGTTATTGAACAGTTAAAAGGGAGCTATTGAAGTGAAACTAACATTGAGGAGATTCATTGGCAAGTATATATCGCATTGTCAGTATAGGGTTATGGAGATTGTTAAGTTTCATTGAGATCATGAACCGATCAACGTTAGACACTTGTGCCAGTAGGCTAATTTTTTTCATAGCTTTATTGATTGAACGTTTCCTGTTAGTTACTAAACACCACCTTTTTGTTGTATTTTATTCAAAGATAGTTCATGTTACAGTTAACATCAGCTGAACAACCGTTCTCAGAAGCCAATAAGTAACTGTCATTGTCACATTCTACCCTAATACGCCACCCTAATACAGAGTTATGATTGTTAAAACTACTAAAGATGGGCTATCTGTAGTTTTTAGTAAATGCACGTTCTTAGTTTCAACCCAACTACAGTAATCAATGCATTAAAATTCAACTAGTTAGTAATCTAACTCAACTTCTTAGCTGCAGATATGAATGTTTGTCATCTGAGAATTCATTCAACAATTGAAAGGTCATATACCCCTCAGTTTTTGATAGTTGGTTAATGTAGACTTCTGGTGAAAGATGTATTTTATAATTGTTTCTACGGATTGCTTTTGATTTAAGTATATGTTATTGTTATCATAACATGTTTTAAGTGTTCACTTTTACTTGTTTTCTTTCTAGTCCCGTTCATTGAATAAAAATCTTGCCGGTGTTACAAATATAATTCATCTACCTACCTACGCTCCTTTCCAACCAAGCCATCGATTATCTTCTGGTTTAGTAACACAATCACAAAGAAGTAAGATAAACCGTAAAAGCGATTGGAATTCGACCTCACCGCATCAGGAACCACATTGGGAAGTGATTGAAAGAATTCTATATGTATATTATAAAACTCATGTGTCTCAGGGTTATGTTCAAGGAATGAATGAAATTATTGCACCGATATACTATGTTTTCGCCACTGACCCCGATGAATCCTGGAGAAGCAAGTTTATTCTGTGTATTTCTATATTTGCTGAAGATTGTTGTTGGAAGTTAGGGGCAGGAAACGTGGTAGCGAGGGCGAATCGGTTGATGATGTAGTAAATCTCCATCGACTAAAGTAGTCGAGGTGTCTGGTACGAATTACCAAGCATTGTCTACCTCGACGTGTGATGTTGAATGATATAGAATTAGGCTGTGACAAAGCTAAGATTAGTCAGTCCAAAACTTCGTATCAATCGTTAAGTCATCAACAGTGTGACTGAATCATGTTTGTGGGTGCAAGATACCTGGTCGATGTCGATTAGATTATCGTGTCCAATCGTTACAGATGTGATATAACATGGCTCAGAATCACTTTCATTTGTGCAGATGCATCCATTCTCTGTCTTCTCTCAGATTTTGAGTCTCTCAATTGACTACATTTTTTGTTTCAGTAACCTATATTTTCTCCTCAAATCATATATTGTATGTCTAATATTTTGTTACTACTTCTGATAATGTTAGTATTTGTACTACTATTGTGTTTGTCATAACAGTTTCATCTCCATGATGATGTGGTGCGTCAATTTCAGTCGATGCACATGTTGTCAACCTGTAAAGTCATTCAGATATCTTTTGTGTATTTATTTGTGGCAGTGGGTTTAGTAATTATTTCGAGAGTAATCTTCATCAAAATATTAAAATAATATATTAGTGCATCTGGTCATTTTGCGTGTATTGGATTATCAGTCATATGAACAGTTGGAATATAATTTGTCTCAAGTCGTAAACACCCTAGTTATTGAAAAAAGATTTGTATAAAAAGGATCTCTAAATTTATTTAAGACCGAAATTTTTTTGATCTTTCAGCTTGTCTTGTAACAGAGCAATGAAGACTTAATTATCTAAATCACACTTTTATTTTGGATTTAATTTATTCACTAGGAAGCTTTGGGGGATAATACCTTCTGCTCGTGATTAGTTTGTAGTCATCTGAGGAGTAAAGATACGTCTCTACTGACATTTTTTGTAAATTATAAACTAGTCTGTCGAAAAATACATTGATAATTTATACTCCTGATTTTCGCAATTTCTATTCTTGATGTATCGAAATCCTGTTTAATTTTATTACCTCAACTCTTTTCACACAGAGTATGCAGAAATGGATACATTTTATTGCTTCAATAACCTTATGACTGAAATTCATCCTAATTTTCTACGAAAGTTAGATGGTAGTCATGAAGCTGGTCTAGGTGAGCATTTACGGTTTTCGATTCATTTCTCCTTCGTAAAAGCACCCGATTCAATGCGTTGTTTATTTAAAAAGAATAACTGGTATTTTAGCCAATATTTCCTCTCATCATACATTAATAATATAATCTTATAGGTCAGTCACATATCTGCACTGAATAAATATGTACTGTATGAAATTACATCGGGTTTAGTCACCGTATATCAAAATAATTAGTTACGTAGTTTACCTCAAAAGAGTAGGTCAGATGAAATAGATAACCATTAAACTAATTTAACACAAAATCTCTACATCATTTTATATACCATTTAGTTGAGTTACACATTTATCATACATGTAGTAAACTACCAATATGTTACTCGAGTTATTCTCGATTCATGAGTATGCTACAGCTAAAATCATATCAGAATTATGATAGCTTTTTACTTCGAAGAAAATTCTGTAAGAGTAATGCCCCTTATTAAGTTAAAACACTGGTTTATTGGAAAACGCATGTCGAGTAAGATTGTTGGTTGAAGTTTCGCTATTTACCCATGTCTATTAATGCTTTGTTGTAGGCTAACTGATAAGACACAAGGTAATACCCGTTGCATTTAGTTATCGGTTCAAATAACAACGCTGTACAGTGACATGTGAAAAAGGATTCGACATGATTATTAACAAAGGAGTATTATATCGAAATGAGTGGAAAACCAGGTAAAGTACGTGAAAAGAAGCGGTATGTATGGTATTTTCAGTCTTAATTTTCAAGATTTAGCCACAGGTCAAAAGAAGGTTGCGTCTACGTTATTGCTGATAGTTTTTAATTACATTCCACTTGATACCAACTGTAGATTTCATCACAGATCTTTATGCATGCCTCATTACAACAGATAAAAGTTATGTGATGGTTGTAATGAATTGTTGATACCAAACGATACCTTATACAACAGTAATGCATATTTAACGATAATAACAAAAGCAACGTATTGTCAGATAGGTTATGTAGTAATTTATCGGGTTTTTACATATTATTTCATTATGTTTTCTATTCCTCAGTATGGGTGGTAATAATATATTGTTGCTTTTTAAATTCTAAAACTTAATTTGTTTTGTTGTTTACTTGCTCAATTTTTATCAGGTGGGCAAATGAAAATTTTATCGGACTTATTATCTAAATTCGACAATAATCTATCTAAACACTTTAAAAAAATAGAACTTGTTCCGGAACATTTTGCATTTCGTTGGTTAAGCTTGTTGCTGGCACGAGAATTCATGCTTCCAGGTTTGTAATTCTGTTGTGTTATTGTTAGTAATATCGTCAATTTTCTTATACAAAGCACTTGAAACTCATGAGTTCGACGTCTTATAAAGTTTTATGAATAGCTTCACCCACTTAAAGGATTTTAGGTTCGCCGAAGATTGACACTGTGATGAAAGTATATTCAATTAAGGTATTAAATATCTTATATTCACAACGGCTAATGATATAACGGAGAGGGTTATATTGCTATAGTTGGAACGCAATTGTGCCTGTTAAATACATGAATAGATAGAAAATATGATTGTTAACCCCCAGAACCCTAAATCTCAATAAACCACATAATATCTGAAAACAAAAACCTGGCCGTTGACTGCAAAGAATTGATATTCAGGTAAAATATCCTACTTTCTACATATTTCCAAGGAATATAAAATTACAATGAATAAGCTGAGATGATAGTTGTTTGTATGTTTATGGAGATCTGATGTGAGAAAATTCACTGATTATATATCACCCCCAATTAGGTACTTTTGATGAAATCAGATAATTTAATAGATGATATGAATCAAACATGTCACATCATACATAAAATGAAGGTAAGTAAAAAAAACATTTGTGTTATTATGTTAACCAAACTGATTGTTTACCGTATTTTCAGATAAACCAACTGACTAGAACAAGTGAAAGTAATCGTTGTTCTCCACAAAAATAAGAGATGGATTAAATAAAGGAAAATGTAAGAGGGAGTTTTGGTTTACTTGTTAATTATTAATCAACATGGGACAGCTGATTGTATACCGTCTCTCAACATAATATTGTTTGGATTTACTCATCTATGTAGGGCTTCAGCTGTTAATCTTATTTTGTATAAAGTAAATCTTTTTGGAGGAATCTTGTGTCATTGGGATAAATTGTATGCCCAGAGTCTATTGAATGTAATGCTATCGCTGAATTGTTTTCTAGTTTTCTCATGTCTTCTTAGGATTCGGGAATGTGCTTCAGAGAAATTTTATGTTCCTTCACTCTCACATTAAGCTGCCGTTATTTCTCACCTACATGTATATCACATTCACTACCTTAGATCTTATATACACAGTTTAATCGTTCCTCCTTTGGTGTTGATTTTTTGGTTCTTACTGATTTAGAGTTTAGAGTATTGGTTGTTCGGAAAAATACCCTTATATTATGATGATTTGGAATCCTTCTGAAATTCCTTTGGTACATGAAATCACTACTACGTTAACACATTCTTTTGGTTTGTCTTTTGTCTTTTAGATTTTCTTCCTCACTTATTCTTTTTATAAAGTCTCTATGATAATTATTCATTATCAAAGTGAATATAACTAAATTCATTTCAGTTCAATCGTTAAGATTTTCATAAATATGACTTTTCTCTCTTAATGTCTTATATTACATTAAATCATTGCTCAACTACTGTGAAACCACCCGTTCAAATTTAGACGAACATTTTTGTAGATCAAAGTAACTGTTTTGTTTTTTAAATATACAGTCGTTTCTTTCTCGTGTGATCAGAATAATATTGATTACATTGTTATATTACGAACCCAGCTAAAAGTTACAAAATTTTCAATCTTGTTTACTTATTGTCGTTTGAGTTTCTATCTAATTATAATTAATTTAGATTTTCTTTAAAACTAGTAAGCAAATGTCTAATACATTCAACAAATATGTTATGTATATTGTTTAACATCCTTATGTGTATATTGTTAACTGTACTTCCAGTTGAATATTATTTACATTATTCATGTATATTTTGCTTTCAAACATAACTGTTAAAATACTTTACAAGTTAGTGTCCATTTTAAGTAAGGAACATTACTTGCTCCTTTTTAATTCTTATTACATTGGAGTAGTGTACTGTATACGGATATGCGATTGATAATCTAAATAACATTGGAAAATGTGATGTAAATTACAACCACTAAAAAAGAATCAATTTATTAACCCGTTCAGTGCACTCAATTAAATGGATATAAACAAAACAGAACTACTGTTCAAAAAATTATTATTTTTGTAGTAAAAATGGTTAATACAATGGTTAATAATACAATAGTTAACACAATTAAACATAATTAAAATGTATTGAAAAGCTTAGAAAATTGTAAGGTATCTAAGTTTTGTCTGGGTTATTTACCAGATAATAAAATTGAAATCTTACTGTTACATCGAATTTTTATTTTAACCAGAGACATCACTTTTAATTTCAATCAATGAAAATTTTAAAAAGAAATGTCTTGTACAATTTTCAAACCAATAAGTTGTTTATTCAAAAGTGTGTTACCGTTACATTTAGTTGATACTGGCATGAAAAAAAAAAAGAGAATTTAGAACTACATTCTTAGAAATTATATTATTGTACATATTTAAGCGAAACTTATTATGTAAACTCTTCATCTCTTATAATGGTGCAACTGTATTTATGAGAATATTTTCATCTCACTAATTTATACTGTGTGCATTTTCATCATTAAAAGAAATGACACAGAAATCGACCATAACTACGTAATTTAATGATTTGTTGTTTGTGTTGTTAACTTTTGATTTATTTTATGCTCGAGAAAATTCAATCGTATACAAAGTATTGATTAGAAATGAATGAATGGAATTGTTTAAACTAATGTTCATTCATTTTCAGTTTTGTTATATTCATATATAAAACTGAAACTCATATTTGAACGTATATATACCATTTAAAGAAAAAGGCGAATTACTTTTTATTAAATAGTATATTATGTTAACACGTTTTATATCGTCAACTCTCTTGAATACTAGTGAAACTGTTAAGAAGAAGGTGAACAACACTTAATTACATTTTTAAGTTCAGTTTCTAGCGTATTTCAACTGGGAGGTTGGAGTTGGTTAACACGAATACCATTTTGCATGTATTCAAACCATAAGTTCTTTATTCATTATATTTTGCTCATAAGTAAAGATACAAGTTATTAGATGTAAGTGTAGATAACCTAACTGAAGATATTTTATTCCCATGTTCATCCACTAACTGAAATGTTAGTTCACATTCATACATCTTGTATATAGAATAAATGAAGTGTGGCCACTATTAGAATCTGGGACTCATGTTCTGTCGTATTTGAGACACGTCGTCTGGATATACATGCATCCCAAAGTTGATTTCCATTCCTGGACTCGAACCCAATACTGTTGGCTCCAGTCGCCAACGCGTTACCCACTTTATTATTGAGTCCAGAGAGCTGTTCGCTTGCGTCCCTGGTTTCACTCCTAGTCACATTTCATCTACTCTACATAAACGTCATAAAAACTACATCGAGGTAATCCGTCCACGATGCACATATGTCAATCAAGACTGATCAAATTTCAGTCAGTATCGAGATGATCCAAGTCAGTACAAATTAATTTAAAATTCACACATCTTCTTGATATCTGATACAAATACATAATGTTCTTTGAAGTGATGTTCTGTTTTGGTGTTTTCTATCTAGCACATTCTGATCACCCTACTTATTGTTCATAATTAACACCAATTTTGGTCTTTTCATAGATATGAAATTGGTTTCAATTACATTTCAGTATTCTACTCGTATTTATCTATTGTGTTACAGATGTACTCCTATTATGGGATACACTTTTCTCAGATCCACACAGGTTCAACTTACTTCCATATGTTTGTTGTTCAATGTTAATGTAAGCTATTTCTATCTATAATTTTGTTGAGTTATTTTTCACTTTAGTAAATAATGTTCATTTCAAATTGTTAATAGTGTTTGGCTGACAAATATATCTTCAATTTGACCTATTTACTTAGAATTTAGTTTATTCAGATTACAATCTAATAGAATTGTATTAAACTTCATAGTAATGCATACCTCATTAATATACGTAGAGTAATAGATCTTTGTTAACCAAAATATTTAGTTCATTGTATGAACTTCTTACTAGTTACAGTTCATATAAAAATTGTTCTGAGTCATTTCAGTGGCTGTTGTTGTCTAATTCTAAAAATTATCTAGAAAAATTGCATTTTAATAATTTACTATCTTACATAATTTATATTTGTTGATTAATCCGTTTTAATAGTATTTTATTTTTTTCTTTTCAACCAACAATTACTTGATAAAGCAGTTGGTCAACGTTATTGTGATCTATTTATTTCCTTGAAGTTAAACCGTTTTGTTCAGATATTTTGAGTATATTATTCAGAATTTTCCAGTTTATGTTATATATCTTTGGAATATGACGGTTTATCAAACATGAAACTTCATCTTTTAATTGACATTGTGTCTATACAACTGAATAAATATAAAATTTCATAGGATTTTAATGGACTGATGGGTGGAGGCTTTGATGACAACATAATTAGTTTACACACTTATAAAGATTAAATAGTTTTAGTGCATTAATCAGACATTAACTATTAACCAATGTTATGTTTTACGGTGCCCAGAGTACTAAGAATTAGACAACATGGCATATGTTTCTATTTATTTCTTCAGGAAGTTAGTAACAAAATCAATAGATCAGTTACATAGACGACTCCAGTACTAAGCGATGCTTCCTTGAATCCTCGGATCAACCGTTAATTATTTAAAGGGTAGACAAAGTTTTGGTGATGATTATTAAAACGTAGACTAAAGCTTACCACCAATAGCTTCCAATAACACAACATTAAATATTCTGTCAGTAAATGCGCTATCGATTGTCAACTAAGAATCGATACGTTTATCAATAAATGAGTGATTTCATGTTTTATTAATTAATTAAAAGTGAACATTTAATTACCAAACTGGTTAGCTTGAGTATAACTTTGTTTTCCTGTGCTTACTACTCTCAAGGGGTCGATTCATATTTATTATCATCTTTAAATGATTTAGTTTCACAATCTAATTGTTCTATAGTTTTAACGAGTTTTCTTATTTCTTCTTCCAAATCGACGGCTTCTTGTTTGTTTGTTACGTCAGATATTGCAGATTTCTATAACAATTACCTTCATTAGAGCTTCATTGGTTTTCATCTCATTTAAAAATGCTTCTGGTCACTATTATTCCCATTTGTACTTTTTAAAAAAAATTACATTTAAATCATTTTTGCAATGAACTTATTTTTTGATTATAGTCGAATCATTAATCAGATACAAATTCATATAAATGACTTCAATTTATACCGTAAGTATGAAAGGTAGTAATACTATCCGACTGACCGTGCTGAAGCAGATATATTAGGGTTTGAATCTGAGTCCTACTGGTTAAAAGTCGAATGCTGTTACCACTAAGCCACAGCTTCATAACAATTCAACCCTTTGTATAAATTTGATGTTAACGCTAATTCACATCACGGTTAAGTTGTTATTTTTATTTCTTTATAAAATGAAATGAATATCTTTAAGTTAAAGCAATGTAAAATAAATAGTGATCAATGTACTGATAGAGTCAAAATTAATGGTTATATGAGGACAAAATAATGAAATGGTTGATTTTTCTTAGAAACTTTAGTATCCATCTCGTAGATTTTCAATTTTCTCTACGTTGTTATTTATAATTATTGTTTTTATTGTTTTCATTTCGGCAATTTTTTTCTTTTAATTACAAGTGGTATTCGTGATCAACTATTGAAAGCTGATTTTCCTACGGCTGTTCAACTTGTTCAAGTAAATAATTGTCAATAAAAAAAATTGATTCTTCACATGAATTTTTCTATGATGATTTTCTTGTAGGATTAAAATAAAAGGAGAAATTAACTTTATATGCGTATGTTGTATAGTTTAACAATACTGATTATATATATATCGTTTACTTGTGAATTACTTCTCTGTGCTAGAAAACAACTTTATTTCAGATCTCCTGAAAGTGTTTTTGATATTAATAAGTAGCATAATTTAATAAGCGGTTTTTTTATTCGATTTAACAAAATCGTAATATCAGAATGGGTTTTGTGGAGATTTTTAGAAATTTCACTGGTTGAAATCACGAGTCAATTGAAGCGGGATCGTGGATGCGCACTGCTGAGGAGTCCCATACCAGAACGAAACGGCCGTCCAGCGCTTCCAGGTTTTCTATGGTGGTCTAGCTTCAATTAATTCATGATTTCAAGCAGTTAAAAACGTAATAGTAAATAAATATATGATTAGAGAACTTGAAAAATTACTTGTTAAATTAGTTACTTGCTAACTGGAGTAATAAACGAATTTATGAGTCTTTTTAGTTAACTACAACTTTGTATTTTAGGTTCTCAGATGCTATTATCGACTGATAATTAACAAGCTGTTCAAACTTATAAACTTATATGTTTTAACTGTTTATTAGTTGTGTAATTAATTATCGTAATATCAAATGGTAAATGGTAACCTATAAGGCTACGACAAAGTAGCTGTCCATTACTTCCTGGTTTTCATTAACTGTGTAATTAAGATCAGTATGAAATTCGAAAACTCTATAAACTCTGTATGGTAAATGATGCTTATTTAAAAAAATCAAGAATAATTTATCTAAAAACGTTGAAAGTCTTTTTTTAAATTGTTAGCTGGTTTTAAACATCAGTTATCGTTTAGTTATCTAAGTTATCCAAGAAAGTGAATTGTTACTGTTAGAATAACATTTCTGAAGGGATAATTGATTATCAGATTAGTTCGAACTGTTCGTTAAATTGCCTATGTTGTTCTTTCAACTCACGTATGGTACTGTTCAAAAACTTTGCTTTGTTCATCATTTGTTAAAGGAATCTAAATCATTTTTCCAGGTTTAAAGTAACTCACTCTAGTAATATTTCTCATCGTCTAATGTCTGTTTCTATCTCAATTAATATCAGGATTTAACTAGAGTTAGAATGGAAGATCAGTATTTCTTAAAAGTTAATTAGTTGCTGAGGCACTACCTCAAAATCTTAGGTTCAGTACCTAATGAAGTTGTTGATTGGCACGAGAGATAAATAGTCGTATACTATGACCAAATAGCTGTCCGGTAATGTTTTCTGGTTTACAATTCTGATCTAGCTGAAATCAGTACATTGTCCTTACTTATTCATTACCATATGAATTAAGTATGCATTTATCCGTCTTTTGGAGCTTTTTCACTTATTTCAGAGGACATTTTCAATAGTTAAACTATTGGGTTTTCAGTTTTTCGGTCGTTAAATTAGGCCAATAATTATTAAATTATGTGTTTAAGAGGAATGATAAACTATTATTGAACATTTATAACCTAGATGTTAATTCACTTTTAAGTTTACTTTAAGAGTATTTTAAACGAATTGTCATTTAAATATTTTCATTTAATGCTTTTTTTGTATCATTTACACTTAGAATTATCCATCAAATATCGATGTAATGCATATTCTTTTGAAAGCCAGAACGTTTTATACAGATCATCGGATTTAAATCCTTCTCTTTCTAACTGTCAAATGATTTTTGTTATTACCACCTATTCTGAACAAGGAATAAAAGTGTAAATGTGCATTTTTTTAAAAAAAATGTGTGTACATGTGCGCATATGTTCGTACCTACCTATTCACGAGTTTTTTTCCCCTCTCTCTCTCTCCCGTTTATTAATTTCAAATATTTCTTTATTCCTAATGAACATCAGTTATTTGGTGATTTATTACATAACAACTTTTCTATAATTTTTATAATGAAAATTACTGTTATTGTTATAATTTATTTCATATCAAATTTGTAATATGATTTATAAATAAATGACTTACATTTTTTTTGTCTCTTTTCTCCGCTTCATATTATTTCTTAATAAAGTGTTAACATGATTGATTTGTATTAATGACTTTGTTGTATTCTATTCGGTTACTATATCTTCATGATAATGTACTCATGATTTTTTCTCTTTATTTCTAGTTGATTATTAAACTGTAAATGATTGTTTGAATATTGCGACAAATTGTTCAAGACAGTTATTATTTTTCTTTCTGATTTTCTATTTTCACAATGAATATTATTATTATTTTTTGATTTGAAAACAATGAATTAAATCCTCATTTTATAACAATATTGTTTAAATATATATGTGTGGTTTCAAAGAGAATGATTTATATTATATATTTATGCGAAGTGTTTATTTGTTTTATCAAATATTATTTGTACACTTAGGCCCCAAATGCCCTGGTACGTCTGAGAGTGGGGTGAGTTCGCTCTCCTTCTCGAAATGCTCTGACCTGGCCACGCGCTTATAGCATCTTCCAGGGAAATCCTACTCACTGCCTTCTCGTGGCGGGGGTGTTGTTTACGGAATTGAGAAGACGAAAAGCGAATGTCCGGCTCTTTGACCGGGTTCGTGGACACGGAGGATCTACCTAGGGGAGTTGGAAAACTCTAATTCCAAACTAATGGTGCACATGGGCCCCAGTATCCTAAGGGAGAGAATGGTGTATGAACCAGTTATTGGTTACCGGCTACCATGGGATTGCATCTCCTTACGTTGCTCCACTGCCTTGTAGATTAGACCTTTAGGTCAAAGGCTCCGGGTGTGGCCCCTAAAGAGAATAATCTCCTTTGGTTTGGGCACCCGAGCAGTATCACAGCCCTCATACAAATAAAGTGATTTGTGTGGCGCATGTGTATTCGGTGCCCCTTTGTACCAATATCTATGTGTTCAGTTAAGATACTCTTTGAACTATGATTAAACACTGTGAATAAGGAATGATTTAGTGATTGAATCAATAAACATTCGACTATTGAATCTTAGTCGAAATACTTTTATCCGAATAGCTGCGTAGTTTCATTAACACTAAAATGGAAAAGTTTGACTGAAAATCGAGTACACTTATACTCGGAAATTAATTTCAGTTGTTTTCTTTAGCTGTCAATTTGGACATGGTACTGGGAATTAAAGGGTTACAAGTTTTTATTAATTTTAAGTACTGTTAAATATTTCACATAGTATAAATATTGAGGTTTTCAAATGTTCCTCATTAACTAAACCTTAGTCTTGGAATATTCCACTATTCTATTCTAGGAATGTAATGTAGTAAATCTTCTGTAAAGTTTTCTCCTACTTTAAGTAGTATGAAAAGTACTGCAAAATTTATGTGCTGCATCTATGGCTTGCATCCAACGAACAGCCATGAATCTAGGACTCAGTACGATACCCAGAATTTACAATGCTTTTTGACCACCTATTCATCTGAAATAGGAAACCAATGAATCTCCATCATATACACTGATTTACAGTTTCCTGACTATGAAATAAAAATTTACTCTTGATCAACATAGGGCTGATTGAGCGAATATTTACTTATATTCTCTACTCAAACCTTTCCATCTTAAGATATTTGTTTGACGTGACCTTGGAACTCAGTCGTCACACATTTTCACAGTTTTTAATATACGTGTTGTACCAGTTACATTCTTTACTAACTGTATAGGGTGGTTGACTAAATTGATTTACTATCAATTCAGTCAAATCTCATAACGTTAGTCATTTATCTAACGTTATTAAACGAAATTGTCCATTCTATTACGCTGGTCGTTAAATTTAGAAACTGTAAATTGTTATCATCACAGCATGGTTTCTATCACTGTGAACGTTATTTAATGTTGTTTATCAGACTGTCATTTTAAAGTAATCAATGTATAACGAAGTTGTTAGTAGAGCAGCGAACATGTTCAAGTAGAATACAAGCCAACTTTGGATTTCGTGTGCAATAAGAAAATATTTTAATCCCACTTGTCACGCTGACTTTGAAACTTGGTTTGTATTTGTCTAGTCAATATATCACTTGGGATATTTGATATTGCAGATCACACTACATCATGTAAATTGTTAGGGGAGTTATTCAGTTTACAACTTCGGTTTAAAGTTCTGACAGTTAATTTATACAATTTTTTGTTAAATTGTAGTTAGAGCAAAACGTTTCTAACGAATACCGATAATTGTTTACAATTGGTTATTTTTATGGAATTGAGTAAATCAAGAAATGCGAGATGAAACTATATTTTATTTCAGTCATCTTTCGTGCTTCACTCATAACTATAATCTGTAATAGCGATGTCTCGTAGTTTGAATGAAGGTTTATGAAAAGTCAAATATGAAAATAATGCACTTTTTACAACGTATCGCCGGTATAGTCGAAAACTAATAATCACAGGGTGGAAATATGAAACTTAGGACACTTATTGAGAGGTTGGATGTATCGAGCCTCATTCATTTCCCCCTTAGTCTTTTCTGTCATTCGGTCTGAAGAATAATTATCAATCCAGTGTACTGTTTTTATATTCTTCGGGAGTAAATTATATTTTACAACGGACCACTCGACAGGAATTTTCTCACCTGAGTACTTGTGTTTGAGAGAGGGATTATTTGTCATCATAATCGGTTACGTCGCTATGTTCGCTTAAGTTGTATGCAATTACATTCGTTATAGCTATTGCTGTAGAAATAAAATTCTTTCATAAAAGGTCAATTTATAATTAGGGGATTACCTCATGAAATTGGGGAACGTAGACAATACAGTTTCGTGAAAATACAAGTATAATTCAGTCCAATCAAAATTTGGGTTGCATTTGATTAATGTGCAAGGAAAATCCTTATTCATCCCGAAAATATTAAATATTAGTTAAGTGGTTGATGAAGTCACAGTTTAATATCCTGTTTCCGTCTTTCTAGATTACTCAGGTAATATATTTAACTGTCTTTTGTATATCGTGGAATATTACTGGTGATAAATTCACGAAATTAACTTATAGGAATGGGAACTTTCATTGGTTGAGATATTCGGGACAAGTGGTTAGCTTGAGAACTAGTTTGAAGAATAGTAAACATGATCATACTATATCTTTTCATTTGTATATAATTTTGCTTACTACTGATGTAAAGGATTTAAGGAGCCACAGATCTCTTAATCTTAATGTAAGTTTAGAGAATTTGCAGACTATGGTTCCAAATAAGTTATATTCGCACAGCAACTTTAATTCATTTTCTCTATGTAACCCCCCCCATTCATCATATCCTGTACCTTTCACTACCCTTTTTATCAATTTCTTTTGAATTATCATTTCTGTTCTCTACTAATTTTTGTAATATTCTCACTGCTATTCCTTTGTTTTTCTTTTCGTTAACTTTCTCTAATTGTGAAATATGATAGTGATAGCAAAATTTTTATTCACAATTTAAGGTGTATCAGTTTGAAAATTAATCGATAAATTACGTAAGGACATCTGTTAGACTTTATTCTTGCTCTAGTTTTGTTTAAATATTTTAAAGGTCTAATAAAAGTAAAACACTTTCATGGGTGTGGTACATTAAATGGGTCTATGTTATAAGGTCATTAAAGTAGAGTAAAAAGAATTACAAAGGGAAATAATGTTATAGGTTTTGGAACTTCGAATTAGATATTTCTTTGATAATATCTTGATATATTGCCTAGTGATAATTCTTTCAGTTGCAGTAAGGATGAACTAAAATTAACTGGAGCATACTTAGTCGGATTATGTAAATAGAATATGAATTGTACCAGAAATAATTTATTCACACAGTAATCAAAACCTTAAACAGATAACTTAATTCCATGTGTATAGATTAACAGCTTTCTGTGACTGGAAATTAATTAGGAATGGCCGAAATGATTCTATCAGCTAGTCACAACTCAGGAATTTTCATGACGTCCCTAAATTTATGGCTAACATTAAACCGATTGTGAATATTTTTGTACCCATTAGTTTAAATTTTGATGGTATGACCATAAATATTAGGGACACATTGATTAATTTAGTGTTATTGAAATATGTGCTCAATTTGTCCATAGATATACTTTTTCTCCATTAAAATTATTATTTAATTGGTTGTAAATAATTTCCATGTGAGATCTGATTAGTTGAATTCCATGGGAATCAGTCACATTTGATTAGATGTTGATTTATATGAAATTTATGATTTGAAAATTTTCTGTGACTTGATAGCAAATTTAAGGGAATTTCGTCTGTTACCGTTCACAGAGGAGCATAGACCGCCCACCAGCATTCTCCATCCAACTCTATTCCGGGCAATCTTTTCCAGTTGCTATTCATCCTTTTCATGTCTGCTTCCTGGAATATTATAGTCTAACTATGTACTTCATTCAGCCGCTTTGACATAGTATTTTCAGTCATCATTTATTTCTACAAACGTTAACGTTTAACTACTAAGTTTCCTTACGGATTAAAATTCAAAAAGTTAATATTAGTAGAGTTCTAAAGTCATTTGGGCTATATTTATAGACCATTCTCTTCCTTCCTATTAAGGTTGTAGTTAGTAAGTTCACAGTTAACTTTATTTACTCTAATGTTAAGTAAAGTAAACATTAAATAAAAATATCTAACTCATTAGGAGATATTTATGGGCGCATACAGTGTTATCGTCATGAATGTACAAACGAATAGGAAGTTTTATGCGTATTTTCAAGAATACAGTAGCTATCTTCATGTCCATCAATAATTTGGCGTCAGAACTTTCTGTTTAAACCACTGTATGAAATTTTTAAATAAATCTTTCAAGGGTTTCGAACGAAATCAGTGCTAAACGTCCACGAACCTAACTGGAAAAAGATGATAACTTCAAAGCCGTGCCTATTTTGTACATTTTATCATAATATGTATTGTTTATTAACAGTGAACTTAGATTGTACATCATCCAAATGGCATTAAAAAACCATTCATTAAATTTAATATTGGAAGTTAAGTGTAATGTTAAAAAATCTTCTCATGGTAACGTACCCTTTGTAGATCATTGTAACACCCATTTTTCCGTAGCAATAATGATAACTATCAGTTAAATAGTACGTAAACATAATTTTATGTTAAATTCTAATCTTAAAACTACTGAGTAATGTGAACAAATTTAATTGTTTAATATACACACCAAATTCCTAATGAACAACTAGTTATTTAACATTAACCAGTGACCTGAATTTTCAAGAGTAAACTTGGATTTAGGAGGATATAAACATTTCACCAAAAACTATCTTTTCCAGTAAGGAATAATAAATTAAGCAATGAATGCGAGTGGACAACATCTATAATAATATAGAATTAGTGTCTATGTCTCCTTTTAAAAAATCAGTTCTATGGTATTAAATATA